GTATTTCAAATGAATAAAAATTACTATCATTTATAATATCTTATGATATATTGCCTTGGGCCTCCCTGGTGGCACAAGGGGTTGACGCAACCCATGAAGCTGTCCGCAGTCTCTGCAGCACGAGTTCCATTCCTGGCCAGGGAGCTACCCACATGGTGCAGCAGACCCCGCTGCTCCCCTCAGCAGTGTATTTCAGTCAATCTACCTGTTCTGTTCTCCACTCTGTCTCTGGCGAATCCTCTCACCCCCCACACTTCTGGCCTGTACCCCAGTTCTCGTATGCATAAATAAAATCTTTAAAAAAATTAAAAATAAATAAAGGAAACTGCCTTTAGATGGCAGCTTACATTTCGGGACTTCAAGCTAAGACATAACTAGAAGAGTTTCTACTGTGGAAGATGAAGACTGCTTAAATTGAATGTGGGGTGTGAAGAGGAGGATCAGTGGTTTTTCTCTTTGCTTAATTGCTGTAACGCTGTCCTTCCAGGGGCTGAGGGAGTCTCATGTTTTCTTTGACATCATTAGGCCCCACAGCTCTTATAGGACAACTTTGACACCGTATGAATTCTACCATTTTACTAATACTGATACGGCTCTGGGGTCCACCACTCATTACAACTATTAACTTCTCTCATATTAACTCTGGTTACAAATTTTACAAAGGGGGGTGCTTCTAAGTAGTTAGGTCTATATTCTAAGGCTGTATATTCAGTGTTCATAAACTGTCCAAGCCCATAGTGGCTGCCATCTTGCGTCACTGTCCCTTGAAGACTGGCTGAAATTTTCTTTATAAATTGAACCTTTAGGGCCTCCCTGGTGGTGCAGCGGGTTGAGCACAGTGCTGTGACTGTCCACAGCCTCTGCAGTGCCGGTTTGATTCCCGGACAGCCAGGGAGAAATGCACATGGCGCGGCAGACCTCTCCTGTCTCGCCCGCTGCTCCCCTCAGGAGTGCTTTCGGTCCGTCTGCCTGTTCTGTTCCCTGATCTGTCTCTGGCGAATTCTTTCACCCTCCGGCACCTCTCGCCTGTACCCCAGTTCTTATATAAGTAAATAAATCTTATTGCGCCTCCAATTTCTAATATATACTGGAGAACACCAAATTATAAAACTATTTGCCCATAATTATTGCTTTAAGGTATACTTAATTATAACTACGTGAAATTTCACAAGCTAAAAACTCATGATTCATTTCATTGGTTTGTTCTACTGCTGGTGATCTGAAATTCTTTGGCAAATATATTTTTCAACAATAATTATCCAAAGGATTTTATTAAGCATCCAGTTGCTCAAGTCATTGCATAGAGACAATTTCTGCCCTCTACTTGTTGAGAAATTGATGTTCTGTGTGTGTGTAAATGATGCTTCGCAAAGAGGTCTTTTAAAAACATGTTAACATTAGGGGATAAATTCCTTTAACAATTTTGCATTTTTGCCACCTCTAAGTGAAGTGAGTTGAATGTAGGATTTAAATACCTGGGATCTATCGCCACCTAGTGTTTTGTTGTTTTGTTATTTCAAATGTGAGCATGAAAGAATGGAACTCTTGCTTGCTCCTTCCCTCCCATGCACTGCCCCAGTGTTCAATTTGTCAATGTTGATCTGTAATCTGATTGTACTTCATCTTCTGAAATGTCTTTTCACACAGATAGGTACTGTCAAATACTGACACGAATCCCCCAACATGATTGTGAGTAAATGTCTCACTGGGAAGTTATTTGTACGATATTAGCTCCATCATGGTCTTTGCCCTTTAGCAAGTCATTCATTACATTGTACTCTCAGCTGAAAATGGGTGGAAGTGATATAAATCCACGTAAATGGCTTTCAAAATATGGAAATTTCTTTTGCACTTGTATGGAGGGTCTGAAAAACACTGCTGAACTGTAGTTTGAGACTGTAAAATATATCTGCTGCAAAATTGTGTGGGTTATGGAGATCTCACTTCTTGAACTTTTAACAGCATGGCAATATATAAAATATATTCATATGTTAGTGGTCATTAGAATGACTTCAGCACCATGTAAGGGGTGCTTTAAAAAAAAATCTTTTATTTATGCATACAAGAACTGGGGTGTAGGCCAGAGGTGTAGTAGGTGAGAGAATTCACCAGAGGCAGAGTGGGGAGCAGAATAGGCTGATCTACTGAAATACACTGCTGAGGGGAGCAGGGGGAGAATCAGGAGAGGTCTGCTGTGCCATGTGGGTATCTCCCTGGCTGGGGATTGAACTCATGCTGCAGTGGCTGGTGATAGCTTGATAGCGCTGACTTTAACCCCTGTGCCTCCAGTGAGGCCTTGAGGTGCTTTAACTTATAATTCTAACTGAATTGACTTCATAAGAAACATGAAGTTTACAGCAAAAGCTAATTCCCAAAGCCACTTAGTGTTGATTTTTAAAAATATTTTATTAAGATAACATTGGTTTACAACTCTGTATGATTCACAAATGAGATCCCACCTCTTCATGTATATGCTGCCGCACCCTCCAAGGCACCCATCATGGACAGCGGCAACCCTAGTCCTTTGGACTCTCCCACCTTTCCACCCTGTTCCCTACCCTCCCTTTCAGCTGTCTCACTTCTGCAGCTCAATATTTAGTTTGTTTTCCTTTTGTGTGCTCTCTTATATTCCACCTATAAATGAAATCATCCAGTATTTGTCTTTCTTATTTCACTTAGTATCTTCCACTCCAGTTCCATCCATGTTGTATAAATGGCAAGATTTCATCTTTTTTGCCCGTCAAATTATTTTTTTTTAAGGTTTATTTATTTATGTATACAAGAACTGGGGTACAGGCCAGAGGTGCAGGGGGTGAGAGAATTCACCAGAGACAGAGTGGGGAGCAGGAGGACTGAGTGAAATACACTGCTGAGGGAAGCAGCGGGTGAGGCAGGCGAGGTCTGCCGCACCATCTGGGTAGCTCCCTGGCTGGCTGGGGATCAAACTCAAGCTGCAGAGGCTGTGGACAGCTTCAGTGCTGCACTCAACCCCTTGCGCCACCAGGGAGGCCCAAATTATTTATTTTAAAAACATCCTTGGTTGTTTTTTCACAATATAGGATTGCGCGGGGGTATAGCTCAGTGGTAGAGCATTTGACTGCACAATATAGGATTTCTCCCCACAGATGTGACCACCACTGTCCTCCACCATAGTCCATCGTTCTCTCCTCCTTCCTCCCTACCCTGTCCGCCTCTCACCTGTTTCCTCCTCTTCCCCTCATCCTCCCTCAGTGTTGATAATGAGGGAGGTTCTTTTCATTGAGAAATTTGCCATCTTGGCCCTGAACTCACAAAAAAACTCAAAAAACTTTACAACTGACAAGCCATCAAATTGCTGTGTGGCAGGGCAAGTCAGGGTATTTAGCTTCTATATTTGTCAAGACTTCATGGCACTGATGATGGCTAAGTCCATAACAAATAAAGCATACCAGTGACATTACTGGTTCAGTAACACATAAGTGGTTCATATATTTTTTGCTAAGTACTACTGATACTACTACTACATTGAATAAACACCTCATATTTTCACAAATTGCAAATGGGTCTTGCTAAACCTTTTTGTGTTTCAACATAAACACCATCACTAGTGGCATATTGTGGAAGATACCACTTCAGCTTGTACTGAACTAATTTCTTCTCAATTTTGAAAATATTTTTTATAGTAGAGCTACACAGATTACATAGAAACTAATTCTTCAGCCACTTGTAGGGGGATAAACCATATTGGTTACCCTAGAATGAGGTTTTCAGAACAATGGACTTCCAGTGTGAGTACCAGAAAGGTTCTGGGCAAGCTGAACGAGCTGATTATTCTAACACATCAAACTTGGCATTGACTTCCTGAAAAATCAACTAAGCAATGTTTAATAACACATTAACTCATCAAGGATCAAGAAAAAAATTGAAACTCATTCGCCTTGTTTATTTCCTGCATAGCCTCTCTTCTATATTGTTGCCTCTTGGTATATGCAGGGGATTGGGCCTGGGGCCATCATGGATACCAAAATCTGCTGCTCAAGTCTTTTAATAAAGCAGTATGGCATTTGCATATAACCTATACACACTCTCCCATAGACTTTAGATCATCTCTTTTTTTTTTTTTAAACATTTATTTATTTGCACAGGAACTGGGGTATAGGCCAGAGGCATGGGAGGGTGAGAGAATTCACCAGAGTGGGGAGAACAGGTAGATGACCGAAAACACTGCAGGTGAGACAAGAGAGGTCTGCCGCACCATGTGGGGATCTCCCCGGCTGGCCAGGAATTGAACTCGCGCTGCAGAGGCTGCGTACAGCTTCACAGCACTGCGCTCAACCCACAACGCCACTGGGAAGGCCCCATCTCTAGATTTTTATATCTAATACAATGTAAATGCTATGTAAATTGTTCTTACTCTCTATTGTCTAGGGAATAAGAAAAATTTTGTATTCCTTCAATACAGATCCAACCATTTTTTTCCTAGTACATATATTTGGTTGGTTGCATCCGTGGATGCAGGATGCAAGGACATAGATTAGAATGTAATAGCAGGGGGTCTCCCCGGTAGCGCAGCGGTTGAGCGCTGGGTTGCGAAGCACCGGAGGAGGGTCCCACATGGTGCGCAGACCTCTCCTGCGGCCCACTGCTCCCCTCAGCAGTGTACTTCGGTCCTTCTGCCTGCTCTGCTCCCCGCTCTGGCTCTGGTGAATTCTCTCACCCTCCCGCGCTTCTGACTGTATCCAGTGTTTGTATAAACAAATAAATAAATCTTTAAAAAAAAAAAAAAAAGAATGTAATAGCAGGGCCTCCCCGGTGGCGCAGCGGTTGAGCGCTGGGTTGCGAAGCTGCCTGCAGCCTCTGCAGCCAGTTTGATCCCCGGCTGCTCCCCGGCCACCGGAGGAGGGTCCCACATGGTGAGCAGACCTCTCCTGCCGCCCGCTGCTCCCCTCAGCAGTGTACTTCGCTCCTTCTGCCTGCTCTGCTCCCCGCTCTGGCTCTGGTGAATTCTCTCACCCTCCCGCGCTTCTGACTGTACCCAGTGCATGTATAAACCAACCAACCAAACAAATAATAAATAAATAAATAAGACATGCCTCTAGAAAAAAGAATGTAATAGCAACATTCTTATACTTTTACATTAGTATTTTTATCTTCCATTTTTTAAAAAATGTATTTTTATGTAGCTGTGGTCATACTGACTGTTCAACTTTTAATTGTACCCTCTATTCACCTTGTTTGCTCCATATTACTACTAACATTTCCTTTTATTGGCTGAGGTGATTCCAGCCTGATTTTTCCCCTTGAAAATCTGAAAATCAAACATGTACTACTTTCAATTCTCTTAAAATCTGCTTCACAGAAAAATTCTTTGTCAACTCTATTCCTCATAAAATATCCACTGCCATGATATACTAAAGATGAAATCACCTCACAGCTCCAGGTCCATTAAAAAAATCTACACATTAATGATGGCACTATGCTGAAGTAGGGTGGGTGGGCAGATGGTAGGCAAGGGAGGGGAACATTCAGCTCATCTTAATATATATATTTTGCCCCTCCAGAAGACAAAACAGAACTGTATTGATAAACTTACCTGAAGCTTTCCCAAATGGGGAAACCAAAGGTACAGCAGATCCATAAAGTTCAAAATGGGTTGAGGGGCAATTCTGTTATTCATTCAACAAATAGTGAGCATATTTGGCATTAGGTAATTTTAGAGGTAAAACGTACTCTTCATACACTTAAATTCCACTTCGTATCAGAACACATAGCCCAGTACGTTGTATTAAAAGACTTAACAAATACTGAATGAAAAAGTATTTGGTGGCAATAAGTATTTTTAATCAATCTAAATTAGCTAGTATAAAACTACATTTTGAGGTTGAAAAGTGAATAGCTGAGAAGGCAAAAACCTATCGTACAAGGTACCTAAGTCCCATTTGCATACCAGTAAGTTGTGTGGGTGTTTATTTACTATTCACTGAATATTGAAATACAATTCCACATCAATGGAATAATTACTGACACAAAATGGTAGCTATTCATCCATAGCAACCTCACATTAACAAGTTGAACATTGGTAGAAATGGTCACAGACACATAAATCCGTGTTAATATTTATACTAGCTTCTCACTCTCCGTGTAACTTCGTTTCAACCACCTGATATTCAAGTCTAACCCGCCTGTGTTAAATGTGTACAGTCTAAAACAGAGAATCATGTGTTGGTCAGGCAAGGTTTTATTTAACAAAGGCTGTATCTAGAGCTTAAACCCATAATCAATGGTGACCCTTCTATCCAGGTGGAGTAACTAAAGACAGCTATGAAATAGGCAAAGAAAAGCAGAAGGCACCAGGATGAAGAGGCAGCTTGAGTTTGGCTACTGCAAGCTGGTGTGCACCCTCTATTTCAGCAAGGGCAGTTACTGACTGGAGTCCTTACTGACTTGAACCAATAGTTTTTCTTTCAAAGTATCTATCAAAGTTTCATTCCACTCTATCCAACTAAAATACAAAAAATCGTAATAAAACCATGTTTTCTACAAGAAATATCATACATAATACTTTCAGAATCACTGATTGTTTTTTCTTCGCCTCTTTTTCTTAGAACGTGTTGGTGTTTGCGTTTCTGGTGTTTCTTCTTTTACAGCACCTAGGGGCTGCTTGAAAACTATTTCATCATCTTTATCATCATCATTCATTTTAGCCACTTCAGATTTTCGTTTCTCCAAAAATGTTGGAGTACAAACTGGTGTGGGGCCCTGGATTCAACAAATGAGAGATTATAAGATATTAGGAACAACTTTACACTACTGCCTCCCAAAGTACATCCTCTCTTTTTACACAAGCTGGACCATGTTATTTTAGGTCTGTTTCCATCTTTCAGTGATACATTACACACAGTGGAGACGAAGTGCTCGTCAAACTTAACATGAAGATTCACAATCATTCGCAATATAATATGTTCCATTATAGAGCATTAGGTAGAAAACTCAAACCTTACATTTATAAAAATACTAGCCTCATTTCTTCCTCACTCAGTCACTTTGCTGAAAGGGTAAAAATTTCAACAGGGGCACAGTAATTTTGCTAAACTCACATCTGCTAAACCACCAGTAAGGGTTTACGAAAAATCACCAGATTAAATATGAAATTTTAACAAAGTAACAATAGCAGAAATTACTTTTCTTTTTTCAAATTATAATACCATTTCAAGAATGTTGAGCACAATTTTACCTGGCTATCCACAGTCTTCTCAGGAGTGTTGGGAGTGTCCAAAACTTCTTCTGTCTTCTTAGGTAAAACCTTCAATAAATTTTAGAAGATGTTATCAATCTGCTACTTAACAGCTACAATAATCTTGAATATATTTTCCCATTTACCTTTCCTTAACATTTGGCATGTAATATGAGAAAAATTTTACCTGGCTCTTTGTAGTTCTCTTACGACGACGAGGCTTTGAAGCATCTGCTTCCTTTTTATGTAAAATCTTAGATAAACACAAAGAAGTTATTAACTGTTATTAATTTGGCAGTCACAAATTATTAATTTTTAAACTTACCTTTAGACTCTAGACACACTATCAGTAAATCCTCCTAAATGACACACCACTTAAAAAGCAAAATCCACAAATACACTATTTGTGTATAATTGAGTTATGTACAGCCTTGACATTTACTGATAGCATGTAATAAACTGACCATCATAATTCTGGTATGACACCTTCAATAGTAATCTAAAGACATTATAGTTTTTGTTAAACAGTGGTTTAACACCAATAATTTTTAAAAAATCATAAAAGTTTTGCTAACCAGCTAATCCCTTTCAGGAATTTTCTTTCTGTACAATGGAGATAATAGGATCTTCTCTGACAAACTGAGGAAAAACCAACAATTCAGTGTGTCAAAAATTTAGTCAAACCTAGTATGTGACAAGCATTGGGTTGGATCCCTTATATATACTGGGCTGTCGGAAAAGGTGGTGACACATTTTTTCTTTGAAAAACAGAAAAAGGGCCTCCTTGGTGGTACAGGGTTAAAGACAGCACTATCAAGCTATTGCCAGCCACTGCAGCTCGAGTTTGATCCCCTGCCGTCCAGGGAGCTACCCACATGGTGCAGTAGACCTTTCCTGTCTCGCCCGCTGCTCCCCTCAGCAGTGTATTTCAGTCAATCTGCCTGTTCTGCTCCCCACTGTTTCTGGTGAATCCTCTCACCCCCAGGAACTTTGGCTTACACCCCAGTTCTTATTTATTTTTTTAAAATTTATTTATTTATGCATATAAGAGCTGGGGTACAGGCAGAGATGCGGGGGGTGGGGTGGGGTGAGAGGATTCACCAGAGACAGAGTGGGGAGCTGAACAGGCAGACTGACTGAAATACACTGCTGAGGGGAGCAGCGGGCGAGACAAGAGAGGTCTGCTTCGCCATGTGGGTTGCTCCTGCGCCGGCCAGGGATCGAACTCATGACACCTCTGCAGATTGCTTCACAGATCGAACTCATGACACCTCTGCAGATTGCTTCACAGAGTGGTGCTTAACCCCTTAGCCACTAGGGAGGCCTCATACCCCAGTTCTTGTATGCATAAATCAATCTTATTTAAAAAAAAGAAAAAACAGAAAAAAATGTGTCAGGACTTTTCCAACAACCCAATAAAATATACATGTTACAAATAATGTGGCAGAAAACCCACCACCAAGAAAACATTTAATGAAGGAATACTTACCAATGAAGGAAAATCATAATCAATTCCTTTTTTAGCTAATCTCTTCCTGAGTAACTGTTCTTTTTTTTTAAATCGTTCCTCCATCCGTAGCTTTTGAAGAAGTGTCCGATTCTGATTATACCGTTTCACTGCTGGAAATGATGGGGGTCGAAATGGGATGTTCCAATCTTTAAAAAGCTCTCCATGTACTTGTTCAGGAGGTATAAAGTTACCTATATATAACAAAAACAACAAAAAGTTTCAACCAAGTGGGAAGATTTTAATGTTAACTTCAGAATTTCCCCAGCGTCACTTAACGTATCATACTCAAGATGTATTCCATTTACATCATGACACCTGAAAGAATAAAGCTGATCCCCAAAGTAAAATTATAGTCAATTAACAGTCAATTATAGTCAATTAACAGTCAAGAAGTGACTGTTAATACCTACTATGTGCTCAAAAAATTCCAGGAGCAGGTGATAAGTGAACAAAATAAGCACAGAGGACAGGCTTGGTGGCATCAAGTCTCTGGGGGTCCTGCAGCTAAAAGGATCCCTACTTATACCGGGTTATCTCCAAGAGCAGACAGACCACCTTCCAGCTCATGTCCTCCAGGCAGCTACTGGTCTAAGGCAGCTTACTGCTTATCTGCATCTGTCTGCCCTAGGGTCTTTTCTGATTATGGAAACATATCTGACTCATATACAAAGGTAAAAACCCTAGAACCAACCTTCAAGCTATGATGGACTGAAATTTGGTAGACAGATGCCGCAGGTTTCCTTGCCAAGTAGCTGGAATAATTCTGTCTCCCACTATTACCTAGTAGCAAGGAAACCAGTTGCCTAAGCACTAACTTGCTTACCAACAAACTCATACTGACTTCCTCCCCCACCCCGTCTTACTTCTCCACTCCCTGTAAGTTATTTCCCTGGGATTACCTCCAAAATAAACTACTTCCACAAAAAGATAAAAAATTTGAAGATGTTAAAGCTAATCTCACTCATCAGAGCTTAGAACTCTGTGTTAATCTTTCAAAAATCAGACACAGCACAGCCTAGGTCTTACAGGGCTAGGGCGGTTCCCTGGCAAGGCATACTTCACCTACTCCTCCTGGCAAAAACTGTTTTTAATGTGTAAATGAACCCATGACTCCAGTGAAGCTACTGGGATTCTCTCTCACAGCAACAGAACTAGAGATCTCCACGGACAACTCATCAGCTGCTTAAGCAGATGTGTGTGACTCAGCACCTGGGATGGTCGCATCTATCACAGACACAGAAAGGCCTGATATTTAACTATCTCTGGAGGACCCTGGGTTCCTGATAGGGACGGCCTGGGAATACAAAGTTGGCAGCTCTAGCTTCTGCCAAATGAACTTTTTTTTTTTTTAAATTTTTTTTTTAAATGATATTTTTTTTTTTTTTTTAAGATTTATTTATTTATACAAGCACTGGGTACAGTCAGAAGCGCGGGAGGGTGAGAGAATTCACCAGAGCCCGAGCGGGGAGCAGAGCAGGCAGAAGGACCGAAGTACACTGCTGAGGGGAGCAGCGGGCGGCAGGAGAGGTCTGCACACCATGTGGGACCCTCCTCCGGTGGCCGGGGAGCAGCCGGGGATCGAACCGGTGCTGCAGAGGCTGCGGCCAACTTCGCAACCCTGCACTCAACCGCTGCGCCACCGGGGAGGCCCCCAAATGAACTCTTAACAGCACTTTCCCTTCAATTTCTGCTCCTTCATCTCTTGCCATTCTCAGTTCTTTATAGGCAAACGCCGTTAGTGACCTTGACTTATGCAGTTGCTATCCCCCTCAGCAGCAATGGTTTCAACCTCCACTCCTGTTTCCTTTACCTGGCTCACTGTTTAATCTTCAGGTTTCTCTTTAAATGATACTTCCTCAGGGAACCCTTCCACATACCATTAAGGATGGCTTAACTAATTCCATCTCAGCACAAAAACTGCTCTCTCTCTGAAAGATTTAAAAATTCCAATTAGACTCTGTCTGGAAAATGCTCTTAAATCTTTGTACCACGCCTTAAGAGAATCATCCTTGAGATGAAATAGCGTGTCCCAGTAACTAAGTAATCAGTCTTTCATTCCCTGGCTGTCCCTCAGCAGTAGGCATCTATGCAATCCTATAGAAAAGAACAGTACTTACATTTTAAGAGTCTTTCGCCAAAAAGGTAGTTGTTCATTGTTTTTGCAACTATTTTGGCAACATCTTCAGATTCAAATTCCACAAAGGCATAGCCTTTGCTGTTTCCAGTCTGCAATGGAAAATCCACCACAAAAAAAGTAGAATAATTAAATTCTATTGTGCCTCTCAGTGCCAAATATTAGCACCACTATTGAATAACATTATGATACCTTAAATCCACCTTCAACTCACAGTATGGGGAACTGTTATGGGAAAAGAAAAGATCTGTACATGCCACTGGATTTGAGGTATTCCTGGTGTTTTAATTACATAATACCTTACATTTAATGAAAACATTAAGTTGCATAATGATTATGTAATTAACACAGATTTAAAACAAATATCATTGTAGGCAAGCAAGGACATGAAAAGGGTCCAAAAAGCTCCTCAAATGTACCTATCATTTCTTTTTTAAAAAATCTCATTTTTTAAAAGATTTATTTTTATTTATGCATATAAGAACTGGGGTACAGGGCAGAGGTGCAGGGGGTGAGAGGATTCACCAGAGACAGAGTGGGGAGGAGAACAGGCGGATTTACTGAAATTCACTACTGAGGGGAGGAGCGGGCGAGACAGGAGAGATCTGCTGTTTCATATGTGGGTCAGCTTCTTGGCTGGGATCAAACTCGTGCTGAGGTGGCTGGCGATAGCTTGACAGCGCTGAGACTTAACCTCTATGCCACCAGGGAGGCCTATCATTTATTTCTTAAGGAACAAAATATGAATAACGGTGAGTGGTAGACACCTGAGTAGTCATGAAATCATTCTCTAGTATACTTCCGGTTTTCTGAAATGTTTCACCCATATAATAAAGCAACCAATATAAATAGACAAATGGAAAAAAAGGGGGAGCAATACAAAGAAAATGTTACTTGGTTAAGACAGAATACCAGAAGCTTCAAAATTTAAAATTCCCGTTAATGTTGAAATGTCACTTTATTTTTTTTAAAGATTTATTTATGCATACAAAAACTGTGGTATAGGCCAGAGGTGTATGGGGTGAGAGGATTCACCACAGACAGAGTGGGAAACAGAACAGAGGATCTACTGAAATACACTGCTGAAAAGAGGAGTGGGTGTGTCAGGAGAGGTCTGCTGCGCCATGTGGGTTGTTCCCTGGCTGGGGATTGAACTCATGGTGCAGAAACTTCGGATTGCTTCATAGTGCTGTGTCTTTACCCCTTGCGCCACCAGGGAAGCCCTGAAATGTCACTTTAACAATAGCAGTAGGTTTGGTAACAAGCAGATGATGGCTGCACACTCTTATCCTCTTACATGCCAAATCAAATGTAAAATTTAACTTGGCTCTATTAAAACTTAAGTAGGGAAGGGGAAAAGTTGTGTCAAGAAAAAAAGACTGTAGGGCCTCCCTGGTGGCGCGGGGGTGGGGGGTGGGGTTAAGCACCGCACTATGAAGCAGTCCACAGCCTCTGCAACATGAATTCAATCCCCGGCCGGCCAGGGAGCTACCCACATGGCGAGGCAAACCTCTCCTGTCTTGCCTGCTGCCCCCCTCAGCAGTGTATTTCAGTCAGTCTGCCTGTTCTGTTCCCTACTCTGTCTCTGGTGGATCCTCTCACCCCTGCATCTTTGGCCTGCATCCCAGCTCTTGTGTGCATAAATAAATAAATCTTTAAAAAAAGAAAAAAGACTGTAGCAATGACTATGGTTTACAACCTATAGAAGTGCATGTGCCTGGGAAGAAAATAAAGTACACCACCCCTCTAATTCTGACCTTTGTTTATTAGGAGGTATATATATTTACTGTATGACACTGGGCTCTGTTCAAAGAACTTTATATTAATGCTATTTTACAAACCAGAAAACCGCAGCACTGAGAGGTTATATCACTTATGCAAGGTCAAACAACCAGTAATCTCAGTCAGGTATTAAACCGGGGTTCCAGTGTCCTCATTTGTAACTGTTTACTATAGAAACTTTTGCTAGTATAAGGATGCCTACACCAGAGGTTTAAGGATTTGAGGCAATTAAAAAAAAAAAGCTAACATTTACAGTGATACCGATTATACACCTGTGGGTGATTCAAGGTTTTAAACCTCACCCACACCCCCCTTTCTGGAGTGAAATGTGATCAGCAATAACAGATAAATAAGCCATTAATTTTTAAAAAATGAAACAAACCTTACCTTTTTACTTCTGGACAGTTTGTATCTTGTAACAGTGCCAAACTGGGAGAAATATGCTTGGATCTGGGTCTCATAAAGCGCTGGAGGTAAGTGGCCCACAAAGATTACTCCAGGAGTCAGTTTTTCTTTTTCCTGTCGCTAGACACATGAAGACGAGGTGAATTTTTTTAAAATAAAAATAACCACATTACAAGAAGACTTGAAAAACTCCTCTCTCTCAGTGCAAGACAAAAGATCAAGAACCCGCTCCCTATTTCCAGTTAGCACAGTTCACTAAAAATGCAGCTGCTTAATGCCCATCTCCCCAGGGGGACAAAGGCCGGGCAGCAGACTGTCTTCGTGCCCGCAGATGTGAGTGTCCAGTAACGACACAATTCCCCACAAACGTCCCCCCAATGCTGCACGCCGACCCCCTTCACGCGCAGGGACTCACCCAACAGTCCCCTGCCCCAGGGCGGGCCCCGCTGTCCCCACCGTCACTTACACTCCCGGGCCACGGGAGGCGAAGGGAGCACAGCAGACACTGTCTTTTAAAACCCTCAGGAACACCTCGGGCAGGTCTCCCGAGCCGCCGGCAGCGGGGCGTGAGCGCTCACCTGGGGTTCAGGGCGGTGTGCGAGCCCCTCTCCTGCCTCGCGCACCCCCCCCCCCGACACTCCGCCTGTCGCGCACGAGGACCCCGAGGCCGGCGGGCCGGCCGGGTGTGAGCGGGCCCCGGGCGGGCCGGCGGGCGGCGAGGGCTGGAGGGGACCCCGCGGCCGGGCCCAGCCCACGGCCACCCCACTCACCTGGGCGGCGCGCCGGCGTCGGCGCACCTGGGCCACGTCCTTCTGAAACTTGGCATCCTGCTGCGGGTTCAGGGACAGGAGCGGCTTGGCAGGGCCAGAGAAGACCGCCATGCCGACAGCCGGTGACGCCACGCGGCCCGCCCGGAAGCGGAAGTCGCGGCTCCGGACGAGGCGGGTGCCGGGCGGGGCCGGAGGAGCCGTGATGTTGGGGGCGGGGCCAGAGGAGCCGTGATGCTGGGGGCGGGGCCAGAGGAGCCGTGATGCTGGGGGCGGGGCCAGGGGAGGTGTGATGCTGGGGACGGGGCTGGAGGAGCCTTGATGCTGGGGGCGGGGACAGAGGTGCGGTGATGCTGGGGGCGAGGCCAGAGGCGCGATGATGCTGGGGGCGGGGCCAGAGAAGCCGTGATGCTGGGGGCGGGGCGCGGCTTGGGGGCGGGGCTTGGGTGGAGGGGACGGCGGCCTCGGTCGGGTCGACATGACTCCGGCGCCCCCTGTTGGCAGGCCCCTGTGTTGTCTTGCTTTCCCATCAGCCTCTCGTATCATGGACAATATCAAGGCGGGAGTGTTAAAAAAATAAACGGTGGCCTTGAAGTCTTGCTAACCATTCAATTCTTTTTTTTCTCTCCTTTCATTTGTTGCTTAGAGCCCTTACTGTGTATCCCTGTGCTGCTGCCCCTAGAGAACTAGCAGACTATAGGCCTGTATAAATGACATTGTGGGTGGAATTTGTGCTATGAGAAAAGAAAAATGGGCCTCCCTGGTGGCCCAGGGATTAAAGTCTCAGCGCTATCAAGCTATCCCCAGCCAGGAAGCTAACCCACATGGCACAACTGCTGTCTCGTCTGCTGTTGCCCTCAGCAGTGAAGTCAGTAAAGCCACCTGTTCTGTTCCCCACTGTGTCTCTGGTGAATCCTCTCACCCCCTCTTGCCACCTCTGGCCTACACCACAGTTCTTATATGCATAAATAAAATAAAGTTTTAAAAAAAGAGAAAAGAAAAAGCCTTGTACAGTAGAGGCACACTTGGTGGCCAAGGAGGGCTTCCTAGAGGTGGGGGCATTTGAATTGAGAAAGAACATGTGAGGTCCTAGAAGCCTACCAAGTACATGGTTATGATAGTGCAAGCAGCGTCCTTAGCACATGAAAGAAGGCACAGGCCAAATAAGGGTATTTGTCCTGAGCTAAGGAATGGGATAGGACCTGTGACTTAAAAGAGAGACCCTGCCATACAGAAATATTTCTGCTAGAAATATTATTTCTGTAGATAATCCTAAATCTATGGAGATAACATCGCTAATTTTCATGCTTCTAGGTAGTTAAGAGAGTACTGAAAGATATCTCTTGAGCCTGCAGGGTATCAATTGACATTAACTTGAAATAATCCACATGCCAAAGTAACAAATCTTTGGAAGGTGTTCTGGACATCTTGTGGGGGGGGGTACCTGTTCTTTATATGTCTCCACTCATGGCTTCCACTAGTTCAAAAATTGGTGAGACACAGGCCTTCAGGAGCAACCACACTTATCCATTGTCACCACCCATGTTGAAGTCACTACCATTTCTTCCTGGAAGTGCAGCAATAGCACACTGATGTCACCCCACCTACTCTTGTCCCTGTAACTTATCCTCCAAACAGAAAAGTGGACAACTGCTCTCTAGTGGCTTATATGTGCCTCTGCAATTGCCATGGAAATACAAAGTGGAGGCAGACACTCATCACGGGCTCGAACCCATGTTGCAGAGGCTGTGGACAGCTTTACAGTGCTGCGCTCAACTGCCTGGGCCACCAGGGAGGCACCACATCACAGGGTTTTAAGGGTTCATTAGGTCAGGTATTTCAAGCCCCTTGCAACTTACTGTCACCTAGTGGAAAGATGATAATAACACCGCGATTAAGACAAAGCTTTTGGTTCCCAGCTTTAACATCTACTATGTGTAAATGAATATAGGCAAGATAATCTCTGACCATAGTCACTTCATTTATAAAATATCAATCTCACAGAAGTATTGAAGAGATAAAATACGATCTTTCCTGTAACACTTTAGAATTATGTCCAGCACAAAGCAAACATCAAATTATCATTGAGTTGACACAAGCAATCCTTTAATATCATTTGGGAAGTGCATGCTCTGAGCGCGCGTGCGAACACGCACACACACACACACACACACACACACAGGTATTTGGAAGATGGATTAAGGAGTAACTGCAAGGACAAACAAGAAACAGCTACAGTGCTTGCTTCAAGAGAGAACTGGTGAAAAAAGTGAGTGGAGATAAAACTTCCCACAGTAATACACCCTTAAAAATTTAACTTAATTTAAAAATATACAAAAAGGGTACAAAATTTTTGTTCCAATCCCTCATCCACAATCTCACTTACATTTTGCTCTCGTAGCTTTTGCAATCACAAACGCACTGTTTTACACCCCCATCTTTATTTTTTATTTTTAAAATTTTTATATTCCCCATACAATTGCAACCCCCTTATTTTGCCCCAAGCCCTCCTTTCCCCGCCTCCCCCCCATAGTGTGTCTCTGGTTCATAGTTGTTTGATTTTGATTTTTACTTTCTTATAGTTATTCTTTTTCCTGGTCCCTTATTTAGGTTTTCTAGATTCCTGCTATGAGTGAGACCATCCGGTATTTTTCTTTATCTTTCTGGCTTATTTCGCTGAGCATGATCCTTTCCAGCTCCATCCATGTTCACCCTCCTATCTTTCTTTCTTTCTTTATTTTTTAAATCTTCTGGAAGTTTTATTTTTTTTTTTAAGATTTATATATTTATTTATTTATACAAGCACTGGGTACAGTCAGAAGCACAGGAGGGTGAGAGAATTCACCAGAGCCAGAGCGGGGAGCAGAGCAGGCAGAAGGACCGCGGTACACTGCTGAGGGGAGCAGCGGGCGGCAGGAGAGGTCTGCGCGCCACGTGGGACCCTCCTCTGGTGGCTGGGGAGCAGCTGGGGATCGAACCGGCGCTGCGGAGGCTGTGGGCAGCTTCGCAACCCAGTGCTCAACCGCTGTGCCACCGGGGAGGCCCACCGCCCCCCCCGCCCCCCCCCCGACATCTTTAAACAGACTGCAATCTCTCCATAGCCTCCCATAAATGCACTTGGCTACTTTCGCGTACTCTTTGGTAAAGGGGCATTCCCCTCCGCCGCCATACGCCCTGCACTGCTATTATTTAATTTTTTTTAAAGATTTATTTATTTATGCATGTAAGAGCTGGAGTACAGGCCAGAGATGCGGGGTGTGTGTGTGTGTGTGGGGGGGTTTCGGATTCACCAGAGGGGAGCAGACCAGGCAGACTGACTGAAATGCACTGCTGACGGGAGCGGAGGGCGAATCAGGAGAGGTCTGCCTCACCAAGTGGGTAGCTCCCTGGCGGGGCCGGGGATCGAACTAGGGCTGCAGAGGCTGCGGACAGCTTCACAGTGTTGCTTAACCCCTTGCGCCACCAGGGGGCCATCAGCGGGGAGCCAGGGGGCCACCCGGGGGCCACCAGGCCCCCCCCCCCAATCCCCCAACTCCCCACGCTGCTATTGTATAAAACACACCCTCGCAGCCGCGCCGGGTCGCACCAGCTCCGCGCCCGGCCCCGCCCCTCGCCCACGCGCTCCCAGGCCCCCGCGCAGGCTGTTCCGCGCTCTGCCTGTCCCGGGAGCGCCAATCAAGCCCCGCCCCCTCAGGCGCGCGTCTGGCGTCAGGAGCGGCGACGGCGTAGGCGGCGCGGCGGGCAGCCCGGCTTGTGCGCGCCGCGGGCACCGGAGGACCCCAGCGCCTGCCGTAGCGAAGGACCTGCTGGGCACGGCGGCGGCGGCGGGCGTAGCGACCGAGTGCGCTGCTGGTCCAGGCGCGCGCTTCGCTGACCACCCTCTCCCGCGGGCCGATTGCTGCGGAGCCGGCGCCATGTCCGTGAGCGAGATCTTCGTGGAGCTGCAGGGCTTTCTGGCTGCCGAGCAGGACATCCGAGAGGCGAGCCTCCGCTCCCCCCGCCCCCTGGCCTTGTCCTTTCCTAGCGGGCCGCCCCCCCCCCCCCGGCCCTGTGGGGTTCAGGCGCTCGCCATGGGGACGCCTGCGTGGGTGGGCTGCTTCCTGCTGGAGTCAGTTTCGGGGCTTCCTCTCTCTGTTCCCGACTCTGCGCCCCACCCCCTCATTCATGTGTTTGGGGCTCGCTCCTGGGCATTGCCCACCGCCTTTGCTCGTCGGTTTTCTCAAGCTTTTGTTGATGTCAGAGACTAGGTTGGCGCTTGGGACTCAACCCACGCGCTTTTCGTGTATTATTGGCGTCTTAGAAGCACGTGCGGCCTCTCGTGGGGTCTCATTCCAAAGTGGATACAAAAACTCAGCCTTGACTGTGGTCCCGCAGGTCTCCGTGTCGCTTTCCAATGTCATTTTACGTTATTTTCTGTTTATAAAAGTTCAGTTTGCTTCCCTTTCGTGTCTCCAGTTGCCCAAATAGTTTCCTGACTCAGGGGTTTTGACTGTACTCTTTGGCTTTTCCTACAATGCTGTTTCTGGTAATCACATATTCATTTCCTTGACCTAACAATCTAAATGTTTTCTAGTAGGACATTAATATTTAAGAGAACTGTGTGCTGTTAAGATTGTACCCAAAATTGCAAGAAGGAAAGTACTGTTTGTTGGGTTGCAACTATTTAAACAATGCTTAGCACGTAAATGTGCTTTGTTAAAGGAGTGAATGAAAAAAGGCCTAACCCTTGTATTGCATTTCATTCCTTTGTTTACACATTGCATTCAGATACTTCATCTTTAGTTTTTATACCATTGAATTTTGGGGTGAATGAGTGACTTTTATCCTTTGAGGGGTACTGGAAGGAGAAGTCTTAAGACCTTTTATTTAGTGCCTTTTATTTAGTGTGAAGGTCTCTCACAGAGGAAGTAAGTAGGAAAATCAATTCAGATGTAGATATGTTGTGTACCAATTCAATCCCTGTAAAGATTGCGAGGGTTTTGAACCTCGGTGTCATAGATTAATTGTGCAATCAAGTGTATTTGATTCAAAGCTATAATAATAACTAGGTTGAATTTATATGACACTGTGATTTTTATTTCTTTGTAGGAAATCCGAAAAGTTGTTCAGAGCTTAGAACAAACAGCTCGGGAGATTTTAACTCTACTGCAAGGGGTCCATCAGGGTGCTGGATTTCAGGACAGTAAGTTCTTTGTTTTGATTTTGAAGTTTTTATCCAACTTAATGACTTCTCATTTCTAGAGTTAACTTCCATTCAAAAGACACGTTAGGGCTTCCCTGGTAGCTTAAGGGGTTAAGCAAGCACCGCACTGTGTAGCAATCCGCAGCCTCTGCAGCATGAGTTTGATCGCTGGCTGGCCAGGGAGCAACCCACATGGCGCAGCAGACCTCTCTTCTCATTCGCTGCTCCCCTCAGCAGTGTATTTCAGTCAGTCTGCCTGTTCTGTTCCCCACTCTGTCTCTGGGGAATCCCCTCACCCCCCACATCTCTGGCCTGTACCCCAGTTCCTGTATGTATAAATAAATAAATCTATAAAAAATTTTTTAAAAAGACACATTAAATGTGTCATCTTATTAATAAAAAATGTCTCATGCTTTATGGTGAGTAAAAATTGGATACATAGGTCAGTTGATCATTTTATTGTTTTACAGTTTTGTGTAACTTTTTTTTTAAAGATATATTTATTTGTACAAGCTCTGGGTACAGTCATTAGCGCGGGAAGGTGAGAGAATTCACCAGAGCGGGTCGCAGAACAGGCAGACTGACGAAACACTGCTGAGGGGAGCAGCGGGAACGACAGGAGAGGTCTGTCGTGCCATGTGGGACCCTCCCCGGTGGCCAGGGATTGAACCAGGTCTGCAGAGGCTGCGGGCAGCTTCCCAGCCCAGCACCCAACCGTTGCGCCTCCAGGGGAGGCCCAGTATTATGTTACTTTTGGTTGATTTTTCTACTGGGAGATAGTATCATTTAAGTACAGTAGTTTTCTATGGAATTTTACTGATGGTAATGCAGTAGTTAATGGTAATGTAGTTTCATAGCTCTTCTGTGTATCTAGCAACTTCTTTTTTTAAAGATTTATTTATGCATAGGGCCTCCCCTGGTGGCTCAGGTGGTTGAGCGCTGCGCCAACAGGGGAGGCCCCATTAGGTTTTCTTTTTTTTAAAGATTTTTTTTTTTTTTTTTTTTATACAACCACTGGGTACAGTCAGAAGCACGGGACTGTGAGAGCCAGAGCAGGGAGCAGAGCAGGCTGACTGAAGTACACTGCTGAGGGGAGCAGCGGGCAGCAGGAGAGGTCTGCGCGCCATGTGGGACCCTCCCCCGGTGGCCGGGGAGCAGCCGGGGATCTTACCAGCGCTGCAGAGGCTGCGGGCAGCTTCGCAACCCAGTGCTCAAGCGCTGCGCCACCAGGGAGGCCCCCTATTAGGTTTTTTTTTTTAAAGATTTATTTATTTATACAAGAACTGGGGTACAGGCCAGAAGCGCGGGAGGGTGAGAGAATTCACCAGAGACAGAGCGGGGAGTAGAACAGGAAGAAGGACCGAAAACATCGCTGAGGGGAGCAGTAGGTGAGACAAGAGAGGTCTGCTGTGCCATGTGGGTATTTCCCTGGCTGTTTGGGAATCGAACCCAAACTGCAGAGGCTGCGGGCAGCTTCACAGCGCTGCGCTCAACCCACTGCGCCACAGGGGAGGCTCTCCATTAGGTTATTTTTTAACCCAACCTTTTATTAAATGAATCTGCCTCAGTCTGCGTTTATAGATACAAATGGTTAGGTTAAACTATTCTACATATGTTTATAGTCTCTATTGAAAGGGGATCAAATAAGGTAAGTTCAGACATTGACCCTTTATTCAAGATGTGACATAGAGGCAGTACAACTAAAAAGAGTTGAAAGTTGTTTTTGAATAAAGACTATAATTAAAAGGTGTCAAAAGCAAGTTATTTTTTCAATATGGAGTTTTGTTAGCTTAATTGAGAATAGTTGATAAAACTTCTTTCTCACCAAATATGAGAGCTTAGAAGCAGTCCAGATTTACTCATTCTTTGAAGATGGAATCAAAATGATACTTGGTGCCTAGTCCTTTATGATTAGGTTATTTATGACATGAAGTATTTTCTAACATTTTCCCTTTAAGCAAGCTAGTTTATTTTTCAGTGTTGGTTAATAGGGAAATTAGAGACCATATCTTGAAAGCCCTGTTGAAAAGTTATGTTCTCATATTTGCTCAAGAGTTTTGTTTTGTTTTTAAGTTGATGTATTTCGGGTATACTGCATAGGTTATTAAGTAAGAACTGTATTTGAAATTGGTCTTTCATGATTACATTTGATTATCTTTTTATGATCAGTTCCAAAGAGATGTTTGAAAGCTCGAGAACATTTTGGTACAGTAAAAACACATCTAACATCTTTGAAGACCAAGTTCCCTGCTGAACAGTATTACAGGTTTGTAAGAAAAGCAACACTATTTTATAATGTTAACAAGGCAGAAGAAAAATGGTATGTATTGAATAATTACTTAAATAAAGCTAGGTATAAATCTATGTAGAAGAAACAACAAAAAGGAAAAGAATCAAAACTTTTAATGTAGTTAGGTATTTCACTGGTGACAGAATTGGTAATTTTTTTCTTGTTACCATCAAAATTTTCTTATGGAACTAGTGTAGTTTTTGCATTGGAAAAGTAATCAAGGAAATATCTGCTGTGTGAAGGTCAAAATGTAGAAAATCTTTTGAGTATGTTCCAGTTCCTTATAAGAATGTATCTGTGCTACTAAGGTTATGGAATTAGTGGCATTGTATATAATGAGTTGAGTTTTATATCAAAGCTTGAATTTCGGGCCTCCCTGGTGGCGCAGCAGTTGAGTGCTGGGTTGCGAAGCTGCCCGCAGCCTGTGCGGAGCCGGTTCGATCCCCGGCTGCTCCCCGGCCACTGAAGGAGGGTCCCACATGGCGCGCAGGCCTCTCCTGCCGCCCGCTGCTCCCCTCAGCAGTGTACTTCGGCCCTTCTGCCTTCTCTGCTCCCCACTCTGGCTCTGGTGAATTCTCTCACCCTCCCGCGCTTCTGACTGTACCCAGTGCATGTACAAACAAATGAATAAATAAATAATAAATAAATACATGCCTCTTTAAAAAAAAAAAAGCTTGAATTTCACTGCCCAATAACATATCTTGGTAAAATTTTATGCCCTATCGCATTGAATCACCATTCTTTTATGTATGGTAGGGAAGAAAAATTATTGCCAATCTTAATTGTGAAATACAAATTATAAGGTGGTTTTTGGTTTCATAGATATTAAACTGGGAAAAACTATACCTGAGTGTTGATGAAATCTTGTAAATAAGAATGTAGAATTTTGACTTATTTTCTGTTTTTTAAGAAGTGTTCTTTTAAGATACAGATGGGGCAGTAAATGGCTAGCATGTGTACATGGGTCATTGGGTAGTATAACTTCACAAGAAAAACTTAAAGGTTGAAAAAAGAGAAACATACAACACGTTTAAGAACATGTGACGAAGACTGAAAGTGACCTGCAAAGCCTAAAATGCTTATACTATCTTGCTCTTTTTGGGAAAGATTTGCTGCTCTCTTGTACAGTAGCAATTGAAGCGTAGAGAACTATGACAATAGATGTGGCAGGGTCTTCAGAAATATGTGGTTTGGTGGTCATGTCTTGGCTGCATTCTGGCTGATTTGACCCTCAGATTTTATTTTGTCTGCATTGTGTTCAGACATTCTTTTTAATTTGTTGACACATTGGAAAACTCTGTATAGCATAAACAGAGTTCGTAAAACCTCTAGCTCAGTTTAATTGCAGTGTCCTGAGGTTTTAAGTCCATCTGTTTAGCTATTTTGGCGGTTGTTGTTTACGTGTGTGAACAAGGGTTCTCTGTATCCTACACTCAATTCTAAATATAGAAGTGTTGATCTTGAGGCTGATGTACAGTGACAGTTCTCATCAGTCTTCAGTTGTAAGTTAATTTTCTCAGAAATTATTGTTCCTCAGAATTGTTCTTCATTTTTTTTTTTTTTTAAAGATTTATTTATTTATACAAGCACTGGGTACAGTCAGAAGCGTGGGAGGGTGAGAGAATTCACCAGAGCCAGAGCAGGGAGCAGAGCAGGCAGAAGGACCGAAGTACACTGCTGAGGGGAGCAGCGGGTGGCAGGAGAGGTCTGCGCGCCATGCGGGACCCTCCTCCAGTGGCTGGGGAGCAGCCGGGGATCGAACCAGTGCTGCAGAGGCTACGGGCAGCTTCGCAGCAACCCAGCACTCAACCGCTGCGCCACTGGGGAGGCCCTCTTTGTTGTTTTTATCAGTTAAATTCTAAAGCACAATTGCTCTTGTCATTCTTAATAATCTTTGTAAATTTTTGAGTCATCAGAATTGGTCATACTTTACAAAGTAAATGTTATATATTTGAATTTGCAAAATATATACTACAACTAACATATTTAAATAAATTATTATTCTTACTTGGCTTGTTTATTGAGGTTTCATGTAAGATTTCATTTGAAAAATGACTCTTTTTCTAAAATGTTTGAACATGACTGTAGTCAACTTTTCTTTCCTAGAGCCTCTAATCCCTCAACCTAGCCTTCTTTCCATGCAGATTCCATGAGCACTGGAGGTTTGTGTTGCAGCGCTTGGTCTTCTTGGCAGCATTTGTTGTGTACTTGGAATCAGAAACACTAGTGACACGAGAAGCAGTTACAGAAATTCTTGGCAGTGAGTGTCTTTATTAATGTTGATCAGCAGAATCAGGCATAGGAGCTTAATTTTTGGTGGGAGGACTAGTGCTTGTTCTCTCTGCTTATTAAAATAAAGGGGAACTAAATGGAAAATCAGCTACTTGAAAGTGCAAAAATTACAATGTGCTGTCACTTGCTCTTTGTGCTTCAGGTTTTATTTTTAAATTCAATTATTAAATAAAAAAGAACTTTAATGCGTAAATTGAGTTACTAGTGGTTTAAAATACATTTTAGGAGTATAGCTTCACTTTGGGTATTTCTTTAGTTTTTATTTTTATTTTTTTTTAAGATTTACTTATTTATGCATACAAGAGCTGGGGTACAGCCAGAGGTGTGGGGGGAGGGAGGATTCACCAGAGACAAAGTAGGGAACAGGACAGACTGACTGAAATACACTGCTGAGGGGAGCAGCGGGCGAGAGAGGAGAGGTCTGCTTCGCCATGTGGGTTGCTCTCTGGCCGCCCAGGGATTGAACTTGTGCACGGGGGCCGCGGATCGCTTCCTAGTGCGGTGCTTAACCCCTCGTGCCACCAGGCAGGACCCTGTTTAGTTTTTAAAATTTAATTTACTTATAACCCATTGTTGCTTCAATGAACATAATTAAGATAAACTAGACATTGAAATAATTTTAAGCCTGTAGAAAAGTTGACAGAGTGCACACTGAAAAAGTTTATGTCCTGCTTTTATTCAGCACTCATTAATATTGTACAACACCTGCTTAATTTTATTATGTGTTCAGTGCATGTGAACCGTTTGAAGGTCAGTTTCAGATAGCATGGCTTTTCCCTTAAATGCTTCAGTATGCATGTTCTTTTTTTTTTTTTTTTAAAGATTTATTTGTTTGTACAAGAACTGCTGGGGTATAGGCCAGAGATGTGGGGATGAGAGGATTCACCAGAGACATAGTGGGGAGCAGAACAGGCAGATCCACTGAAACACACTGCTGGGGGGAGCAGCGGGCGAGACAGGAGAGGTCTGCAGCTCCATGTGGGTTAGTTCCCTGCCCAGGGATCGAACTTGGGCTGCAGTGGCTGCCAATACCTTGATAGAGCTGTCTTTAACCCCTGCGCCACCAGTGAGGCCCCAGTATGCATGTTTGAAAAACAAAGATAATCTCTGACAAAACTAGGTACCTCTGATAATGTTTTTTGAGAAAAGAATGGAAGGAAAATTTGAACTTTGTTAGGAGCCCAAAAATTCCACAGATGTGACAGCACATTAACATGGTTTATCTTTTTTCAACAGTGAGAGAAATTTTACTTGTGTATATAAAAATTTTACCTTTTTAGGCTTTCATTGCACTCATATCATGAGCTCATTTTCACATTGATATATATATTTTAGTTGAGCCAGATCGGGAGAAAGGATTTCATCTGGATGTTGAAGATTATCTCTCAGGAGTTCTAATTCTTGCTAGTGAATTGGTAAGAAGCTCAATAATTTGCTATTTGCTTTTTTTCTGATCACTATGAGTTTTTCAAATGCATGCTCTCTTCTTTTTCCTGTGCAGTCAAGGCTGTCTGTCAACAGTGTGACTGCTGGAGACTACTCCCGACCCCTTCATATCTCCACCTTCATCAATGAGCTGGATTCTGGTTTCCGCCTTCTCAACTTGAAAAACGACTCTCTGAGAAAGCGCTATGATGGCTTGAAGTACGACGTGAAGAAAGTAGAGGAGGTGGTCTATGATCTGTCCATCCGTGGCTTCAATAAGGAGACAGCAGCAGCTTGTGTAGAGAAATAGGCTCTCCCTGTACCTGACCCTGCTGACCCCTGTGGTTGCCAGTGAGGGTGAGCACTGTGCCTCTCACAGTAGTTAGGATGCCCGTTGCTAAACACCGCGCTCGCTTTACTTTCTTAACCAGTTGTGTGGTGTGAGTATCAGAATTGAAACACTTTTGGGAAGGGTACAAGAATAGCCTTTACAAGGACAGATTTTTCTTTATTCAGTGAATTTGCTCTGTACTTTAGTGTATTTCAGTTCTGTCAGAAGTGTAAATGTCAATCTCTTGGTAAAATCTTTTTCATGCTTACCCTAATGCTGTTGATGTACTGATTGACAGTTTATTGTCTTGTTTGTGATTCTTCCAGAGCTATCCTTGATGTTTTCTATATCCAAATTAGCCATCCATACCCAGGTGTGACCTGGTTACAGTATAAAATTACATAATTAAAAGGGATGGTTGCCAAGCAAAGGACTACTTATTTTATATTTTCCTTCCTAATTTTAAGTCTTGTGAGTAAATCAGATGTTGAAATATTTTGCAAAGAAGTTACAACCCCAGGAGTCTCTCACTGCCACCAAAATGTAAAAATTAAACTGCAAAGTCAAATTCAACATTATTTTGGGAAGATTTTGTAGTAGGGGATTTAGTAATAATCTTGTTTGGCTCTATTTACAAGGTGGAAAGGGGCTTAATGTTTTTAAAACACCTCTGTTTTCTGACGTTGCCTTAACTTTCTGCAACTGCAGCAATTAAAAATTGTCTTCACACACATCTTGAACCAAAACAATGTGATATTTCTAAGCTATGAAAGCTTTTTCCTAGCAGCTGCCTAGGTCTGGGAATATAAAGCAACCCAGTTGAGTTAATTAGCAATATCCTGACTAGTGGGTTCTGTGTGAAAAATGCTGTGTTTTGTCAGGAGAAAAGATACAGTCTTAGATTAAGAAAAATCAGCTGATCGGGTGATTTTTTTTTTTTTTTTTTTTAAGAATATGCAATTTCAGGTTGTTGATGGCTATCCCAACAATTGAGATTTAGAGTTACAATTTTGGTAAAGTCATGTTAATCTGTTGACACCCTCCCTCCTCTCTCTGGTTTCAGGAAGTACTAAGTATACCGATAACGTGACTTTTGCTATTGAATTGCACTTATTAAAATGGTGACTTATCCAGGGTTCTGGAGCTCACAGAACAGAAGGTGCTACGTCTCCAAAATAATCAGTTATATAGCAGTACCACCCTTTCATGCCTGATGCTGGTTTGGGCTTCCTATTTGTATGGAGGAGTATTTGACATTGCCATCAGAACTTTTATTAGGCTGAGTTAAGGACAGACTATACTTTCCATCATGAAGGAAGTAGAATTGAGACATTGTTGGATTTTAGAATAAATTTCTTGGCAGCTCTCTCTGCAGAAGAGTTTGTAGACAGAGAAAAGATGTGTTAGGGTCTCAAAGTAGCTGAGACAGTCATCTAAAATGAGCAGTAATAGTACTGCCTAGATAAAATACTTTAATTATGTGGTTAGACTATGCAGTAAGTTTGATAGTAGTTTTCTTTGCCTCTAAATATTGATCTGCTGTAGAATATTAAAGTTCTTGGCAGAAATTGTGAATTTCAGTTTCAACAATTGCATTTTAAGTGGAGCACGTTCGGGTCTCATAACTCCATGTGAGAATTTATAAGTGTCATACTTACAATATTTTAAATGTGTTTGTTGCTGGCTTGTAAAGCAATAAAATTTTTTTTTTTTTTGGTCTGCTTTTAATTTAGTCTGCTACCACAAGAGCTCTTCTATATGGAGAATAAATTGAGGCTGATGAAGACTGGGGTTATAGGCATATACTGCTATTGTGATAGTTAACAACAATTAAAAAATAGGAATCACTCAGAATTCTTTACTGTAAGTGCAGGTAATACTTGTGTAATCTACCTTGACTGGGAAATTAAAAGTATTTGAATATGTTCAGAAATCTTGACTCTGGTTTTATTACACCAGAATTTCTTAGTTTTAGAAAATGATCAGATTACAGAAAGTAGAGCTGAATTAGTGGATGCTTCTTAAAGCTTTATTTAGAATAAACAGCGAACCACATAAATACAATATAAGGTTTGTCTCAAATTTGAATTATACAAGAAATGCTTGGTGAGAAATTTTAATAAAGAATTAAAGCTGCTTTGGTAGTGTTTTGAGACCTTTAGCAAGTGGCTAAAAAGATGAGACAAGTGTACAAGTTGCTAATAGCAGTTTTTGTGCTCAGAAGTTACAGCTTGCTCATTTCTTGGTATTGCCCAAACCATTTGTCCTTGAGGTAGGGCATCATTGTCATTGTCATGCCGGAGATCAGAATACTTCCCTGAGCCTGAAATAATTTCTTTCTTAGCATCCACTGTATTAAGCATTAAACAAATAAAAATAAACTCTCTTCCCTCTTCCAAACAAAGCAATGAACATGTATGGGAGGTGAAATTGACCACACCGGTTGGTTAAATGAGATGGGGTAGGGAGAAGGAGGAATCAACTGTCAGGTTTCTGGTCTGGATGACGGAGTATATTTAGGTTTTCTTAACCAAGGTATGTGATTGTAGGAGGAAGCACGTTTCTGGAGGGGGATGGGTGGATGAGGCCATTGCTTTGGGATGTATTGGCTTTATACTTGTGGAGCAACTAGGTGGACAATAGGACTTTGGATATAAGGAAAGCTGAGAGCTACAGTGGACATGACTTTGGGAAGTTTTAGTTTACGTGTGGTAGGTCTTAGAAGGAAGATCTCCAGGATTTTACAAAAGATAAATTGCTGAAGACAAAACTCTGGGTAAGAGCATGTTTTAGTGAGTTAGACTGAGAAGAGTCTATGAGTTACTGGAGGAATAAAGAAGTTGACAGAGAACAGGGAATTGTTACAGGGGCCCGGGGAGTGGAGTCTTTAAAAAGCTTTTTTGGGTGAGAGGTTTAAAATATGTATATTTAAAATATATCGGGGATACTTGAATTTGACCATAGAAAAGCTTTTTGAAGTAGGGGGTGTGGAAGCACAGTGGAGAAATCATACTGGTACTTGACCTGCAGAGCCGGTGAAGGTGACTGAAGACGTGGAGGAGCAGATGGGGGAGGAGACAGTGGCTCGTTTCATTACCTCTGGTTCAGGTTTGTCAAAACAGGAGCTGGACTGACGGAATTGTACGTGCGCCGCTTCCTCCCGCCACTATCGCAGTCCTTTCTTAAAACATGAATGTCCTGACTGAAGGAAAATCTATGAAAATGATGTCGAATTCCCCAGACAAGAAATTTGAGCTCTTAGTTACTGCCCTTGTCATTTTTTTTCTTATTTACTCTGTCCATTATATCAGTTACTTGTGATCATCTGGTGTCATTTAATATTAATTAACATTTACCCACAGCCATCTGCTCTGGCTGGAGTTCTGTGTTCATGCATTTCAGCCTGTGTTTCAGTGACAGAACGCTGGCCTCGCTACGTGGATGTACCAGCTGGACCTGCAGTGAGACCAGAAGTCAGTAAAGGCTCTCCTTCAGCTGGGCTATGTCCCTGTTTTCAAACCTTTTACTGACAAACTTTTTGCTCACCCTGATAATTGAAGAGAAGCCAGATGATTCTTCACGATTGGGGAATTCAAAGAGCAAGGTGTTTTACTTTCAGGCGGAAGGGACTGCGAGATTGTTTTAATCACAAAGGCGTGGTTTGGGGAGCAGGGTCAGTGGATTGGGCTCTTTGCTTTAGTAAGCAGCTATTTAACTCCAAAACCCATACAACTACTGAGACAAACATCCATAATCTGTGTTGAAAAAGACTACAATCAAACTTTTTTCAGAACCTAATACACTTTACCAAATTGTTAAGTATAATCAATAAACTTCAAGGCTTCATTCCTTTGCATCCAGAAGTTAACTTTAGGGTTCTCAAGAAGAAAAACAGTGAACCAGAAGCGTAGCTTGTGGTTCTCTTTAACTGCCTTGCAGAGCCTGGGACCTACCAGGTTGGTGGGCATTAGTAAGGAAGCAGCAGGCGACTGCCCAGGAGGGTTGTGTGAGGCTTTGATGCCTACTGCAGTCCCAGCCCACAGAGTGTAAGACGTGAATGCAGCTTGTGCAACAAAACTGGCCAAGGGGCTACTTGTGTTCTTGGGCTGGGGCCTGCCTGTGTTATCAAGCAGCTTAAACCTTTCCTCGAACTGAAAATAGTCCAGAAATACAGTTTCAAAAGACCCTCACTGAGGAAAAACAAAAGGAAATAAATTTGGCACAAGGATTTTTTTGAGATAACTCCAGAAGAACCCTGACTTTAATTCTAATCTTATACAGATTGGCGGGAGGGAATACAATTATCCTGCCTGGTGGCCTGTCAAAGGTATGATAGTGGCTATGGAGACAATAAGTGGAAGATACAAATGTGCAAACCATTGCTTTATGATATATTTTACATATTTTTCTATTTTTTATGTGTTACTTCTGTGATTATAAAATACAATCATTGTAGAAAATTGGTAAATTGTGAAAGATTTTTAAAGATGCATATATATATTTTTTGCTTTGCAGTTTATCCTAAATATACTGGTGACTTAAACGAACAAAACTATATTGAGGTAGTGTGAATTCTACTACTCACTTTTGATCAGAAGTATTCTCATTTCACTAGCCCCAAAGTGAATGTTTTCTTCCTGCGCGTCTTCCACGTAAGGACAGATGGATAACATCACCCAAGCTTCTCAGCAAGCTCCATGTAGAGGCCCAGCTTCTACATTCATGCCTTTTCTAACTTTTACAGCACATTTTACATTACCTTTTGTACAAAGCTGACATATTAAAAGAAACAATAAAAGTGGATTTTTATGAAATTAGAAAAAAAATTTTATGCCACTTTCTGCTTTGTCAAAAAATTTTCACATTCATCACACCAACTTGCTGTGACACATTCTATGTGACACCTCAGGAGTTTGAGGCTCTGACAAATGAAAGAGAAAATTTTCCCAGGGGTTTCACTTCGTAACTTGTCTTCTCTCTGCTATCATCCACTTGCAAGCTGGTCATCTTTCTCTAGAATTCTGATCACCACTTTGACACCTCAGCATCAAAGTTTCAAAACCTGCTGTGCTGCTTTGAAAAACATCCTGACAAGTCCTCAAAAAAAAAAACATAGAGGGGCCTCTCTGGTGGCACAAGGGGTTAAGACAGCACTCTGAAGCTATCTGTAGCCACTGCAGTATGAGTTCGATCCCTGGCCTGCTAGGGAGGTGACCCACATGGGCAGCAGACCTCTCCTGAATCGCCCACAGCTCCCCTCAGCAGTGTATTTCAGTCAGTCTGCCTGGTCTGCTCCCCACTCTGTCTCTGGTGACTCCTCTCAGTCCCCACACTTCTGGCCTGTACCCCAGTTCTTGTATGCATAAATAAATCTTTTTTATTATTTTTTTTAATAAATCTTTTTTAAAAAGCCCATAAAGGGCCTCCCC